GTGACAATAGTCTAGATTTTATGAAATATAATTGTAGAAACGAGTTCAGAAAGCTTAGAAACAAAAACCTTGATAATGATGCTCAATTGCTCTTAGATTATTTGATGCTCATGCAAAATGAAAATCCTTTATTCTTTTATGCAATCGATGTTACTGATGATGGTTATTTAGAAAATACCTTTTTAGCCCATGCTAGGTCAAGAAATGCATACCAAAGTTTTAAGAATGTGGAGAGAGAGAGAGAGGTGAAGCGCAGCTGCTGTAAGTTTGAACAGGGCTTTTAAGGCTAGTTCTTTAGAGAGAGAGAGAGATGCCCATACATTTGCAATAACTTGTATGGTGACTCAGGCTTTTGTGGAGGGGAGAGAGGGAAAGTGGTAACCGGCAACTTGCTGGAAAGGAAGTTAAACAGTGACATTACCTGAGATTTTGAACCAGGACCAATGGTGATTCTATGAGTCTCACGCCGCTATTTTTGGCAGGTCCTATAGGATCACTACTCCCATATTAGTTTGTTATCTGAAAGCTGAATTTGTTTTCGTACCCCTTAAAAGATGGAACTAGTGGTTTAAAAAACAGATCGGTGATTCGGATCGGGCATTCTAAAAACCGATTTGGATCGGCGAATCAGGAATACGGATCGGGAATCTAGCCGAATCGTTCGAATTAAGCCTTAAAAAAATTCAAAAAAATTATTAAAATTCATTATAAATGTTGTTTGTTAAGATTCCAATAAGAAATAGAGGTACTACATTATTAACTTTCATTGTTTTTATTAATTTATGAATATTGAGATGTTCTTTCCCTGTATGAACTTATATTGATCATTAAATTTACATCACACAAAAGAAATCATAGAATTATCATGGATTAAGTATATAATCATATATGGACTACAATAAATAGTTGACTAAATCGATGAAAAATTGGCTATTAAAATCTCGAATTGGCGGAAAACCCTAATCCGCTAAAAAAACCAAAATTATTATAACCTAACTAGCTATAATATTATATACCAACAATATTTTACAATTATTTTATTATATAAATAATATCAAATCCAAAATATTTTATAATATCATCTAATTTAAAATGTATTATTGACAACTGTGAGAAAAATAGTACACAACATGATTTATAATACAAAAATTAATAAATAAAATAAAAGATTTGGCTATCAATGTAGAAATTATTAAAATGCATACTAATTTCTTTTAATTTTTTTAGGTTTTTTAGAATAAATTAGTGGAAGAGATTG